ACTAACTTGTGTACTTGGTGATAGTGCATGTTTCCCGTAATAATGACTGGTGGAAAATTAGTTGATGTATATGTATGTAGTGATCAGTAGGATCGTGTATCCCCGAGTAGTGGGATGTGTTTGTATCTTGGTGATAGAATATGAACCTGTTTACTATCTGGTTGATTTATATGGTGTTGGTGTATGTTATATCTGTACATATATGCATTGATGTATGATGATACGATCAGGTGGATCGTGTGCACTTAGTGTGCCTGAACATAATAGTTATGCATTGGTGTGTGCATATCATGGTGTCTTGGTGGGATGGATCATGTCTCGGATGGAGCGTAAGTGATCTGTCCGTACTCCTTTGTGGAGAATGGTGGGGTTGAATCATGTCTCGGAGGGAGCGTAAGTGATTCACCCGTACTCCTTTGTGGAGAATGGTGGGGTTGAATCATGTCTCGGATGGAGCGTAAGTGATTCACCCGTACTCCTTTGTGGAGAATGGTGGGTTCGATTGAATGAACCAATGAGTCGGTACCGCATGCATGGTGTTGAGTTGCATTTTGCATTATAATATGTTATATTGTAATTTGAACAGTAGGTTCGTCATATGGAGTTGTTGGGGGTGAATATTGGTGTGTTGGTGTGTTTTACTACCTTATTTACATGTATTACATTACCATTATATTCTGATCATTATTTCTCACCCCTTTGTTGTTGTTGTGGTCTGTGCTTCTTCGGAAGTACAGATAATCCAGATGTTTAGCTAGCTTGGATATTGGTGTGACCGTCGAGTCTAGGATGCTCTGATACGTAACACGGGATATGGGTGTTGTAATTGTTTTATGTCAAACGTGTTGAAATCCTGTGACGTATCATGTTTTGATGTATTTTACTTTATGAAACAAATTCCGCTGTATTATTTTGAAAAGAATGAATAAAGTATTTTTATAAAATCTGGAGATGTGATATCCCACTTTTGGGTGAAAACTCTGATTATTATTATAATATTTATATTTTATTTAATACGGGAAGTGGGGTGTTACACTACACATCCATGATTTCAAAAATTCTCAACTTCTTCAATATCGATGTGCCAAACCTGCTGCTCATCTCACCTGGCCCAGTTCAAGAATCTCCCAACATACCTTAACAAATATGGGGTACTTCTAGGATAAAAAACGTTAAACGTATTACCTCAGGTTGGGAAAACATGGACGAAAGATGTACAATTTTGATGATCCTACATAATTTGATGACTCCACTACTGAGCAACAAGTTAGGGATGATGAACCTATGCAAGATGTGGAACATGTAGCTGTTCAAAGGAATAATGATTTCATGAAGATCAAGCTTCCATCACTTTACTTCTTCAAAATCTGCTGATTAAACAAGATGCTCAAAAGCCTGATCAACTCTGCAATATGGAAGAACACATGAAAACCCAAGATGAAAATTTTGAAGCTTTTGCATATTTTTGTCACAGAGAAACCGGTCTCGTTGAAGGATGAAATGGATATGAATACAACCTCTACCATTGCAAGGGTCAATCATATGATTGCCGCCAAAAAGGAAGATCACCATCACTACACAAAATTCTATCAGGAAATGTGTGACTTCTTGGACCGTTAGTTCGAAAGAGATGGTCAAGGATGGTTCTATGGAGTGGGGCCTGGAGGTCGCAGAAGAAAGTGATGTGAAAAGTTTGAGTCGTCTTTATCGTGTGTCTTAGTTTCCATGCATTCAGTTTTTCATTTATGTTTCAATGCATTTTCATTTAGTTTATTTTGATGTTTGCTGCTTTGGTTTATGTAATGATGCAATGCTTGTATTATGATTAATTAAAATTAATAAAAATGAGTATTTTGGTGTGATTTATTAAGATTATGTGTTTTACATACGTGTTTTATGTGAGTGCACCACTTATTCTTTGAAATTTCCTCTATGTAGTATAGATTCTATGTGAACTGTGCATTTACGTGATGCTTCTAACAAATTACTTCTTTTTCTCTTTTTGATGTTGTCAAAGGGGAAGAAGATTATGAAGAGGGTAATGCACAAATTCAGGGGGAGCTATTTAGGATTTTGCACGACTTCAGTGGGAGCTATTTAGTGTACCGAAGAAAAATGCAATGGCTATAAGATTTATTCAGTGTACCGAAGAAAAACGTAATGGCTATAAGATTCATGTTTTTCCATCATAAAAAAGGGGGAGTATGTGAGCGCATTCTTCAACTTGGTCATATTTTGAATGATGCCAAAACTAAGAGTATGACTTTGCATTTTTATATATTGGATGGTATCAACCTAAGTTTAGATGTGCCTAGTTCATTTTAGCCTTAGGATACATACAAATGTTTTTTGAAAGGATTGAAAAGCCTTAGAAATGCCATACACATCAAAAACCAAGTTATATATGTAAACACAGTCACATAGGTCGACCTATACGAGTTCACGCCGACCTATTACTTTCATAAACTGACCTATAACCTTCCAAAACCTAAAATTTTGTTTTTCATTCTATTTTTCTTGCATTATCGTTGTCTATTTCCACTTACACACACACACACACACACACACACACACACACACACACACACACACACACACACACACACACACACACACACACACACACACACACACACACACACACACACACACATATATATATATATATATATATATATATATATATATATATATATATATATATATACTCGTACATGCACCTTCTTCTAGTAACATATATATATATATATATATATATATATATATATATATATATATATATATATATATATATATATATATATATATATATATATATATATATATATATATATATATATATATATATATATATATATATATATATATATATATATATATATATATATATATATATATATATATATATATATATATATATATATATATATATATATATATATATATATATATATATATATACTCGTACATGCACCTTCTTCTAGTAAGGTATTAGTGAATTACCTAAATGAAACCAGATTACAAAGCATTCCCATGATCTTCAACCTCTCTTCTATGCATACACACAATTGAACTATACATAATCATTTTTCGATTATGTGACTATCTAGATTAGGGTTGATAACATCAAATTAGGTTGGTGTAACCGAGAATGTCGGGTTGGGATCTTTGTGTATTTCAAATAAGAAAACCAATGTGGGGTTTTCCTTCAAGATCAGTGTAATTTGAAGGTTTTGGACAAGATTACGTCAACACGGATTCAACCGAGTGAAGGCCTTGGGACACAGTGGTTTCCTTGCAAGGGAGTAGCGCGAGACGATGAATCATGTTCGGGAATCTTGGGTTCAACAAGTGCGTACTCGGTATAATCGAAGGATTATAGCTGCATTGTTGGTGACTTGATCAAGCTTTGATTAAGGCTTGAGAGGTGGTTGAATCAACAATAAACTATAGGTTTTGTGGGGTTAGAATTCTTCACCTCTTGTATAAATATTTTTACAAAGATAAGATTAATTGCAAGTATCTGATTGAGGGCAGGCATGTCCATATTGATGTCATTTGGGGAACTTCCTAAACAAATCTTTGTGTGTGTATGTCTCTCTCTCTCTCTCTCTCTCTCTCTCTCTCTCTCTAATTGTTATTCTTACAAATTATCGATTTAGTTGTTGTTTCGATTAATTTGATTGGAAATTATTTTCAACTATATTTTAAAATTGTTGTTGATAATTGTGATTGATTTTTAACATCAACAAAACAAATTGAATTTTCAAACGTGATCAATCGCACACAAAGTGTTCGATAAATTGTCTTTGAGTATTTTTATCGCTTTGTGTTCATTGGAAATAAGTGTTATGAATAGCTTTGCATTTGATTGATCCGTGAATTAATATTGTTGAACAATTTGTATTCATTATAATTCCATCGATTTTCATTATACATATTCGAGCTTTCGATAGTAGGTTCAGTTAAACGATTTGATTTAGATTGTTTCCGTTGTGCCATATAAATTTTTATCAAGTATTTTTAGTTTTAAATTTGTAATTTATTCATCTTCTTTCGATCGAAGCTACCATCTAACAAAACTTAGCCATATAAAGTATATGAAATTAACCCTATAACATAATTTCATTTTCTGCAATCTAGGAGAGCTGTTAGATTTTGTAGTACATTCACTATTAGATTATATGAAATCAGCCATATATCAGAATTTCATTTTCTGCAATCTAGGAGAGCTATTAGATTTTGTAGTATATTCCCTACTAGATTATATGAAATTAGCCATATAACTCCTATTTAATGAATGAAACAAACAAACAAAAATTTATTTTCAACTCTTTTCTCTCAATTTATAAGTAGTTCCCTTATTCTCTAAATCTCAACAAATCAACACATAATAACTTGTGCTTTAACACGTGCATTGCACAAGAAAATGTACCTCTAATTTAAATAAATTTTTTGGGAGGTAAATTCCTTCAAATTGTAATAATAAATAAAAGAAAGTCCAAAATCAAGCCCAATCTACTCCTTTTCGAAGGGGGCCCATCCACTATGCATATATATTTACCAACTAATTTTTAAACCCTAATGACAGTCAAACTCAGAGTTCACTGATTTGCGAGTCGCACTGAAGTCACCAGGATCAACTTCGAGTCGCATTCAACTCAACAGTGAGAAATTCCGACCAAGATTTTCCTTTATCCAACATCATTATCACATCACACTATTCTCGCTTTTTTAGCTTCGCATATTCCTCAATTTTCTCTTTCAATTATTACAGAAAAATATATATCCATATCCCTAATTCGCATTTATTTTTGTCAGATATAATTCACATGTTCTTACTAGATTTTGTTCCCTTTCTTGTTTATTCATTATTAATATGTTATATCTCACAAAAAAATCATTACTTTTGAATTCTGAATCAAATTTACGATTAACGTAATTCACAAGAAACCCGTTTTTTTAATCATTATTTAAATTTTCAGATTCACTTCTCTGTTATGGATGAACGGGGTATGTTTGGTAAGTGGACGAGAGAGCAAGACATGGCATTTGAGAATGCATTGGCGAATTATCCTGAGGATGATGTGGATAGATGGGTGAAAATTGCGGCTGTTGTACCGGGAAAATCTTTAGGAGAGATTATGCGTCACTATGAGGTTTTGGTTGAGGATGTCTACCTCATTCAATCTGGTTATGTGCCGGTGCCGTGTTATAATTCTCCTCCGGAGGGATCGACAAAGCGTGGCAAAGAGGGAACTAATAAAGAACGACGAAGGGGTGTTCCTTGGACAGAAGATGAACACAGGTTAGTTTATCTTTGTTTTGGTGTTAAGATTGAATGCTGGTAAATGGACATAGTTAACATTTTGTAGGGTAGGTAGGTAACTTGGTTTAGTTTATTATTATTTCTGTGTCTAGAGTTTTGTTTTTTAGTTTTATTTCACTATATAAACTTGAGGTGTTTGGATCTATTATGTGATAGTGTTGGAATTGTGGAAAAAATAATGTTTTGTTCAAATTCTGCTATGGTGTAGTAATTGTTGTCATATATACCATGGTGGATTGTGGTGGCAAAATTTGTGATAACCGCCGATGCCAGTCAGTGAAGGGCTGATGCGTTGTGGAGTTTTCTGGTGGATATGGTAAAATGGTGGATTTTTGGCTTTACCCCATCCACAATCAATAACACTAGCTATAGTGCTATAGCCGCTATTTGAGAACACTTTGTACTAAATAGTGTATCACAAAACCATAGGGATTTGTTCAAGTTCTGCTATGATATGATATTGACGACACTGAGATAATTGGTTGTAGGCATTGTTGTCGATGGTGGATGGCGGAGAGCCAACATCTCGCCATACCAGCTGCTTTACTGCGCCATTATAGCAGAATATAGCTGAAAAAATCGCAATATCAGCTGATATTTAACATAGTGGCAAGCCCAAAACCCGCAATGTATATCCGCCATGGGCGATATTTGATAACACTGATTGTAGGCTCTATATATCCTAAGATATCTGAGTCGTGCATTAAATTTTTTCAACGATATTTGTTAGAGAAGTTTCTAGTCTGTCATGACAATTTACTACAGTGACTGTTTTACTAAACCATGACATTTGGGGCTCCTGAACCAGTGTGTAGAATTTATCTATTGTTCTAGGTGGGAATGAAGTAAGTAAATCCAATGGGTTTGATGGGGAATTATATTAGTAAATTGAATTCTGTCAGTTCCATATTAAGAGGGGATCATGATTATTAAACGTGTTACTGTGATCATCATTAATTTCTTCTGATGTGGTTGTCTATGGTCCAATGTATTTATTAGAACTTGGAATACTTCCAATGAGGATTGACACAATATTTAGACTTTATTACATTGATATAGGATCACTACTTGTTAGATTTAGTTTCAATAGTATCATTAATATGCTGCCAATGTTATGATGAGTTACATCGGATTATTTTGCTTGATTTCAATATGGGTTTACTCCAATCTCTGGAAGAGTTACTACTATATCAGATCCGTGAAACAATTGTGTGAGGAGATTTTGGCAAAGTGATGTAGAACAATGTATTGGTGGTTGTTATCAATAATCAATAGTATCATTTAATGGTGTGTCAGAATTTTTGACAACCACCATACAGCGGCATGTTTATACAGTTGATTTTTGGCATTTCGCCATTGACAAAACCTATCAGGATTAGTTTGTTGACTAAGTTAGAGATATACTCGTTAGGAAAAGCCATGTTTCATTTTAACATTTGATCGTCTTTGTGGATGGTTAATTTTGAATATGATTTTACACAAGCCGCCATCTATTAACATTTGATCGTCTAACGTATGCTTGAATGCGGAAGTTTTTCTTACCTTGTTATTATTATTAGTATTGTTTTAAAGTATTTTCAAATTTGTGAAACAGGTTATTTCTTATAGGCTTGGAGAAGTATGGAGATGGTGACTGGCGAAGTATATCAAGGAGGTGTGTGGTGACAAGAACACCTACACAAGTAGCAAGCCATGCTCAGAAATACAAAATTCGTCAGAAATCAATGAATCAGAAGAAAGAAAGAAGAAGGCGATCCAGCATACATGATGTCACCCTTGGGAAAAATAGAAACATTCCAGGACCTCAAGTACCAATTACTGGTCAGGCAAGTGATTCTGCTGCAAGTTCTGCTGGACAATCAGCCATACAAGTTCCTCCACCCCCACCTGCTGAAATGTTAGCTGCAGCCGCACCTGCTGGAATGCTTGCCGCAGCCGCACCTGCTGAAATGTATGCTGCAGTCCCACCTGCTGGAGTCAAAACTTCAGATAATCCTCCGGCCCCACCTGCTGGAATCAGAACTGTGGATAATCTTCCTGCCCCACCTGCTGGAATTTATGCTGCTCCTGGGATCTGGCAACCTGTAGGAAGACCGGTTGTATCTGCCGATGGCACCACTCCAGTGAATCTTACTGCTTCTGGGCACACGGCTTATGATCATGCGCCGGTTTCTGGGACAGCTATTCAAGAGGCACCAATGAACTTTAGTTCTCTGAATTATCTCATGCAACATACATCATCTACTCGCTCATGAAGTGCTCAGAGGCTCATGAAATACATACATAGAAACACGAGTCAAATTATAGTTACTTTTATTTCTATATTGTTTCTTATGAGCAAGCAAGTGTTTATAACATCCTTGGCATAGGAAAGCATGGAAATAAGTTTATTTTATAGAGATATAGATTGTTATAGACAAGGGGTATAAAGTGATTTGTTGTGATGCAGAGGAAGTTTCTTTGGCCTTAAAATTTGAAGTTTTTATTATTATTAGGAAATAAACATCATATCAGAGTATTTCAATAGGGAAATTGAAAAGGATTTGGGTTGTCTGGTCCCTAAAAATAAATGTAGAAGGCTGATCTCAAACAGCTGGAATTATTTTTTTTTAATTGATTTTGTTTTCATTTAGCTTTCCTAATTCAGGTAACTCCATTGATATCAAGGGTTAGGATTAGGACTCACATTATTTTCATTTGTTGTTTTAATATGTTATGGTTATTAGGGTATTGATTTATGAACCCACATCAACTTGTTTGTAATCTAATATTTTGTTCATAAATGCTTAAGTAATTAGAATTGTCAACATTTTCTAATTTAAATTTAGAATTCAAAATTAGATTTAAAATTGTAGAACTACTCATTCGATTATTGATTGAATTTTGGAGATGAAATTACTTAATGGAGAAAAATAACACCTCAATTTGCAAAGGAAACCTAACTTGAGTTTGTTTTAAGGATTAAAACTATAATCTTGTAAATATTATTTGTCGGAATATAATTATTGAGAATTTTAATTTGTTTATTGAATAATTTAATTTCTTTGAAATATTTATAAACATGAGAATAAAAAGTGACAAAATTATATGTAAAATAAATTTTAAGGAATAAAAGGTTTCTAGGTATAATTTATTAAGAAAACAAACATTGAATTGAAAAATACACTAGCCTACATTTTTATAATTCTCAAAATAAATTTGCAATCCAAGAGACATTTATAGTGTATTTCTCCCTAGAGTTTGTAAATGATCCTCCTCAACTCTAAGGCTGAGCAGATTATATTAACCTTTTGGGTCTAGGTTGAGGGAGATTGCCTCCTTTTCACTACTAGAAGCATGGAGAATAAGGAGTCACTCTTCCTTGAATTGAGGAGAGGTGGTTATCCTTATACCGGCTATTTCTCAACATGTCACTCCCATGTTTTAGTGTAAGATAGTCCAATTCTTAGTGGGCAGTTTGCTAGTCTAATTCGGGCGACCTTACACCTTAATTGGGTGACCTACAAAAGTAATTGGGCTATCATGTAACACCCTAAAACCCGACACCATTGATTTATAAAATAACGCATTTAATTTTACACAACCTCGATGTTACACATTTGCAACACATATCTTTCTCGTAAATTATAACATGAAATATGCAACGGAATAAAATATCAAATCTTTCAAGATAAAGTTTATTAGTCTCAACAGAAATTACTAATTAAAATAACTCAAACATCTCAAGAAATATAACATGTAACAAAACAACTCATCCCCGGTGTTACATATCAGAGCAATGCCATAACTAAACAACTCAAAAAAATGTAAACAGACGAAGAAGCCTCAATGCCATCCTCTAGCTCAACAACACTTAGTGCTTCTCTACCTGAGTATATGTACCATGAGAGTACATAAAATCACAAACAAAAAAATCAGAAGGTGAGAATATATACAATAGAGATAGCGATGCATAAACAATAAAGAATAGTATAAATCAAGCAATCACCAATCACAAGAATATCATTCACAACAATCACCAATTACAATAATAACATGAACGCAAAACAGGTAAGTATGCAATGCATCAACTCCTCGACTCTATATACATGTGGTACAAATTTAGACACCAAAGGTATATTACAGATTTAGTCCACTCACTGATGGTCCCATTTGGAACCATGAACGTCACTGATCCCCCATTTTGAATCAGGACTCGTCACTGATATCCCCTTCTGAATCAACGACTTGTCACTGGTCCCCTCTTTTGAACTAGCGAGACAACACTGGACCAATGTTCGTACACCATGATGTATGAAATGTAAAAAAACATACAAATGCAATAATCATCACTGGTTCCTCTTTGAAGCACATACATTATCAATAAGTCCACCAGATCAACATAATATATATGCTATGTAGTTATTACTCACCAATACATAATCTTACTCACATTCAACAACAATTACCCATATCTTAACAAAGAAAAAATCAAACAATTCTTAAAACATAGAAACATTACTCTCAACTCACCAATCTCAACAAATAACATTCAAAACACATACTCAACAAATAACACTCAAAGCGCATACGCAACAACGATTCCTCTTTGAACCCGTAACTTTGCCAATGTAAGGCCAACGTTGTAGTTCTTCTATGAACTACTCAACTCAACATGTTATAGTTAACATGTTATATAATTATAACTCAAATTAATATAATTATATAAATATTCACAATTATTCATCGGCAAGGTAAACATATAGTTACACAGTCTTTACTGAGTTAACTCATAAACTATCAGAGTTTTACAAGCATATTTAAGCCTTAACTAATTGTCGTACCTCGAAAAAAGCACGATCATTTACAAATGGTCGCGGAAAACAGAGTCGCCACTGAATTTTATTTATCCCAAAGAGGGAAAGGAAAATATCGAGAAAACCTTTAGGGAAAGAACATGGTCATCGCAACCAAGTGTCATACCCTAAATTTGTCCTACCCATTTTAAATATTTTCGTATTTTCCATTCTATTTTATTTCACTTAATTTTATGCCATTTAGACACGTGTCCACCCTCGATTGGTCGTTTTTAAATTTTTGTTCTTTTGTCCAATGGAAGCATGACACGTGGCCTAAGGTTGTTTTTATAAATATTAATTCCATTTTTAATTTCCCTTTTTTCTTTTTAAATATTAGTATTTTTTGTACATATATTGTTTGTAAATAGAAATTAATTTTTTTAATTTAGGATTAATTTTGATTTTTAGAAATAGAGTTATTTAGAATAGAATTTTTATAGGAATTTTTTAGAATTTTTAACTAGAAATACATTTTTTAAAATTAGAATAGAAATAGTTTTTTTTAATAGTTTAATTAGAATTTTGTTTTAAATAGAAAATAGAACTTAATTTTTTTTTTTAGAAATAATTTAATAAATTTTAATTTTATTAAATAGAATATAAAATTTTATTAGATTAATTAGAATTTGAGTTTTTTTTATTTATTAGCATAGAATTATTAGAATATTAAGTTAGAATTAGATTTAGATTAAGATTTTAAGTGTTAATAGATTAGAAATAGAATTTATTTGTTAGTTAATTTAGATTAGAATATTATTATTAGAATTAGGATTAGTTTTAATTAATTTATTAGAATTATATTATTAATTAGGATTAAGTTTAGTTAACTATTAAAATTAATTAAGTTTTAGTTATTAGTTAGAATGTTGGTTATACTAGTTATTAGAATGTTTATTAGGAGTATAGTACAACTTTTATTAGAATCAACTTGTAATTAATTAATAAAATCATGATTAATATAACAAATTGCTGGTCACGTGTCAGCCTTCTAGGATATATATCCCTATTCATCATCTCCTTCCTCCCACACAGCAACCCTAGCGCCTCCCTCCTGAAGACTATTCATCATCATCTTCCAACCATCATCAACCTTCGTCATCCCCATCTCCTCTTCCAGAACCACCATTAGGGAATCAAAACCAACTTTTGAAAAATTCTATTTTGAAATTCTAATTTCAATAATTATCAAAATTTACACATGAATCAAGTATGAGTGGCTCTGATACCACTTGTTGAAATTCTATTAATTAACACACATTAATTCATACTCAATTCAAGATAAAATAGAATGCAGAAGCGTACCTTTATGATCCATATAATTTTAATGATAAGATGATGATCTTGATAGAACAATAACCTTTCAATTGTAGACTTTTTTTTTTAATTTCTTAGTTCGTCTTTCAATGAGATAAAGAGAATAAATATTTTGTAATATTTTTTTGTGTCTACGGACCATAACCCCTTATTTGTAAGAAATCTCATACTCTCTCACGAAGAGTTATGTTTGTTTAAGTTTATAATCTTATGTTCTTTAATAAATGGTCATTATTATTTTAATTTTTTTATTTTAATTTTACCCATCAAAAATAAAAATAAAATTTTTGATATCTCCACAATATTTTTTATGACAATTATATTTATAATTATAAACTTTATATTAAATAGGTTATTTTAATTTGACTAATTAAACAATAATTTTAACACATTAATTTATTACAATGACACAAAAATAAAATTCTTAACACAAACACCCTTAATTTATGTTAGTTGACGAGAATTTCTCCGTCCATTGCACCGATATGGATCACGTCAGACAGATCGATGTGACTAAGCAAAACAAAATCTACTTCGTCAAACAACACTTATCATCTCGCACAACTCTTAATTTTTTAGCATATGTTGTTTTCAAAATATCGGAAACCTGACTCAGATAATTGCATTTGTGACTATGAAATACTATTCATTTGTCTTTATCTCTTAAACATTGACTTTTTCATTCTTAAGGCTCTCTTTCTAAACTTTCTTGAATTCACAAGATAAAAACATAATACGGCATCTATTCTCTGCATCCCATGGTTTCAAGAAAAGGTAAATGTTTTTTTAGTATTTCTCTTCCTTGATAATTCATTTTTGTATGCAAATTTCATTAACTCAATGGTTTTAACAGGTGCTGTTATCGTCATTATGGGTGTCAGCGGAGCCGGAAAAACGTAACTGTCGTTCATATATCATAACTTCTTCCTTTTTGTTGTTTATTTTCATGGCTTCTATTAGTTTGTTATTGAGAATATCTCATTTTATGTGGAAAAAAATACGATGATAATTCTTGAGTATATTTTTTTTTAATTAAAATTTTGATGATCCAGAGAGATGGTAAGTGTCGCTTCTAGTTTATACATAAGGTCTTGGGTTCGAAG